TTCTTGTCATGTAGATATATACACTAATGCAAATTCTTGCTGCCATTCAAAGGTTCCTTTCAACTTACATGGACCTCGGGGAGTTTTGAGTCATCTCAAATACCTTATAGAAACAAAGGGATCTGCTGTAGTCTGCGTGGCAGAGGGAGCTGGACAGGTGACTTAAGAAATCATTTTTATAAATTATTGATTTGAAGATTCCTACATTCTGACAGAAAATTAGAAATTTAAACTTCTAACTCATACATTCTCTTGATGCAGAACTTGTTCCAAAAAACTAATGCTACGGATGCTTCTGGAAATACTTTATTTCGAGACATTGGTGTATATATCCAACAAGAGGTCTGTCATTTATTACTTGTTTACGATGATTGCAATAATCTAAGTAGGTTGAGAATTAATATTAAGAGTCTTTTTCTTTTTGTTTCAAATGAAGTAAATGTCAAATCATATAAAAGAAAAGAAAATCTAAGCACGTGTATTAGTTCTAACAACAGTTTTATTTCAGACCAAAAAACACTTCAAGGAAATTGGTGTTCATGCAGATGTGAAATATATCGATCCAACGTATATGATCCGCGCATGTCGAGCAAATGCTTCTGATGGAATTTTCTGCACTGTGCTTGCACAAAATGCTGTTAGTCCCTCTCCTTCTCTATCTTCTTCTTGCACACATGATTTCGCTTTTAGTATTGGTTGTCCTAGGTAGTTATATTTTTCACCTGATATTGAAGAGATTTTGTATCACAGGTTCATGGTGCATTTGCTGGATATAGTGGCATCACAGTAGGAGCTTGTAACACGCACTATGCTTACTTTCCCATTCCGGAAGTGATAGCTCATCCCAAGTTAGTGGACTCTAACAGTCGAATGTGGCATCGATGTTTGACTTCAACAGGCCAACCTGATTTCATTTGATTCAACCTTATACAGAGTATTTCTTAGAGATAGCTTCGTAAACCCAACATCATGATAAGTAGAAATAATACCGAGGATGCCGTTTTCTCATTCAAATTGTTTAATTGTATAGCATTGCAAATTCATAGTGCTTTCTTTCACTTCCATTCAAAACGAAATTTGAGAGGAATGACCAAGCATTGTTTGCTTGATTTTGGGACATTTGTTGTAAGTATAGAGTATTTTAAGAACATCCCTAATGGAAGTCTATTCAATGTGTTTCAAGACATGCCAATTATAGAATTCAGTACTTTGTATAGCAGTCTCTGTTCATTCTTATCCTAATAATTTTATAATTTTGAATCCAGACTGACAATAATAAAATTATAAAATCAAGATAAATAACCCCACATCAATCAAATTACTCTCGTCTCATTTCTATAACAGAAAATTAAAAACTAAAGACTCGATCTAAAAATAAAATTTAATAATTATTTAAATATACTATACAAATTTAATAG